GCGCATGCTAGGTAAGCACCAGAGAGCTACACCCCCCATATCCCACCATATTTATTTTTAGTGGGATCTCCAGATACAAATCTTGATAAGGAAATGATAAGCAGTAAAAAATACAACTAAAGAGTTCATTTCCTACAAAGTTAAAGGAGATTACTGTTTCTTCTTCTCTTGCCTTGGCTTTACAAGAACCAGGGTTGCAATTAAGGGACTGGAGTGAGATATGGTGGCGCACACCTGTAATCCCAGTGATTCAGGAGGCTGAGGCAGGAGGATCCCCAAGTTCCAGGCCAGCCTGGGAAACTTAGTGAGACCCTGTCTCAAAATAAAAAGTAAAAAGAGCTGGGGATGTGGCTCAGTGATATAGTGCCCCTGGGTTCCATCCCCAGTACCACAAAGAAAAGGAAAGTCCCTTATAAGATACATGATTTGTACATATTTTCTTCTATTGTGTGGATTCTCTCTCTTTTTTCAGTGCTGGAGATTAAACCCAGGGCCTCATGCATGCTAGGCAAGTGCTTTACTACTGAGCTATACACCTAACCCCTCTTTTTACTTAAATTTTTTTTCTTTTTACTTTTTTGGTATTGGGGATTGAATCTAGGGGCGGTCTGTCACTGAGTTACATTCCCAATCCTTTTTTTTTTTTTTAATTTTGAGTCAGGGTCTCACTAAGTTGCATAAGGCCTCGCCAAGTTGCTGAGCTGACCTCAGACTTGTAATCCTTCTGCCTCAGCCTCCTGAGTCACTGGGATTAGAGGCCTGTGACACCATGCCTGGCAATGGCACTGCTCTAAAGAGAGTGCTCAGAGAGCTCCCAGCAGGATTTTACAGGGGTTGTTGATTCTGGGAAAATGAAAGACCCCTGATAGTAAGGTCCCTTAGGTTCTGCTCATTGCTTTGGACCTTCATACCATGTCCCAAGCACTTTAGCCCCTACCCCTCCCACCTCACCCTGGACCACATTCCCCAGGTGTGCCGAGCCCCATGCACGGGCACCCCAGCCCCTATTTCCAGTCCAGGGTAGAGCTTACTTACTTGTGAAGAGGGACAGGGAAGGGGAGTCAATTATGGTGAACTTGGCTCCAGGGTCATTCCTTCGCCACTGGGAAAGGAGAGAGGAGGTTGTGAGGGATTGGAGGTAGCTGGACTCTGGACAGGGTTCAAGGGACAAGAGCGGGGAAGTGCCAGGAACTGAGCCGGGGTTGGCAGGGAGAGCAGGGCACTCACCGCGACCTCCACGTGGTCGGTGCCCTCGTCGTTCTGCTTGTGTAGCACCTCAAAGTAGTACCTGTGGGAGGCTGAGAGGCTGGCAGAAGGGAGAGCAGGGAAATGGGGAGACAGCCCCTCAGTCCCCAGGTCACCACCCTCACCCCTCTCCCCTGCTCTGAGAATCCCAGCAGCCTGCCTTTTTTTAATCCCTGGGGTTAGAGGCCCCACCCTGGCAATTACTAACTGTGTGATCTCTTCTGTCAGTGGGTAATCATAGTCCTCACTACACAGGATAACTGGGGGTATCCAGCAGAGTAACAATCCGTTCACTGTTAGGAGCAGCCTGTGCCTGCTACTCTAAGTGCTTGACATATACTGACACCGAGTCACAAACTCTGGGTAATTTCTCAGAGTCTCAGAGGTAGTAAGCAGGAGTGGGGGATGCGGACCCAGGCAGCCCTGCTTCAGAGTTCGCATCCTTCGCTGATGGACTGAATTCTACAGGAAGCACTCACTCTAACAGCTGGCACGTATTAAGAGCTCTTTGCAAGCCAGGTGGTCTTCTTTTTCCTTCTTTTTTTTTTTGTTTGTTTGTTTTTCTTTTTTGGTGCTGAGGGTGGAACCACGGATCTTGCAGGTGCTCTACCACTGTGTCCAGCCCCAATTATCATCTTCAAGCCGATGCTTGTACAGGCCGCCAGGTGGTGCTCTGAAGTCGGGCTAAACCCTCATTTTCAGCAGTACCTTGGATTCCAGCTATCATGGCCTTCCCTCCAGACTACCCCGTACAAATTCCCGGTTGCCCAGGCAGAGCCACCAGTCAAGGATGTCACAAGTCTGGGTGTTTCCAGGGACAAAGAAAATGGGAAGAAGGAGGGCCAGGAGAACGGAGACCTTTTCCAGGCCTGAGTATTACTGATCAGCTGTGTGACCTTCAAGAAGTCACAAACCTTCTTTGGCCTCAGTTTCCTCATCTGTAAAATGAGGCAGGACAGATCCAATGGTTTCAAAGACTCCAGAGAGTGTGGGTACCAGGGCACCCTGAGCCTGTGGAATAGGAAGGCTGGGATGGTGGAAAGGCGGGCTCTCTCACTCGGATGTGGCCTTAGCCATTATGCACCTCAACACTTGCCTGATCTGTGTGAGGTACTGGATTCATTCCTCAACACCATATTTTTTTTTTAAAAAATAAGATAAAGTTTAAAAGGAATATTTATTGTGACCCTCTCTACTCACCTTACTGGCTTGGAAATTTGACTTCGAAATTTCCCAAACTCTCCAGGGGCCGTCCATTCCTTTCCAGTCTAGAGGTGTGGGGAGAGAGAGGAGAGAAGGAAAAATAGAGAACGTGATGAAGAAGGATGGGAGGTGATGAGTGGAGACGGAAGAGGCAGAAAGGAGAAAAGCGAGAGGGAAAGAGTAGAAGATGAAAGCGATAGAAAACAGAGGAGAATCAAGGAGGGGGCTGGTTGGCTCAGGGAAGGCACTTCCCACCATGGCTAGAAGAGGCCTCAAGCTGTCAGCCAGCTCAGAGCCTAAGTCCTGTCTCAGCACAGAGCTTAGGAGCCTACAACCCCAAAGACGTCTGTGCCTGGTCCCGGTGCAGAGATGGGCCTTCTCGGGGCCCCAGACTCTGACTCCTCACTCCACCCGTTTGTGGCATGGGGTAGGGTGAGAGCACACGCTCCTCTTCACCCCTTCTTCACACCAGCGTTGCTCACAGTAAGGATCCTGGGACCCCTGGGAGAGCTCCTGGGGCCACGGCATCCCTACCTTGCCCACACTGGCCAGCAGCTGCAGGCCTGAGACCTGGTCGTCACGGCTCAGCCAGAATTCAGCGTTGTCATCTGCAGCAATGGCAAACTGGATTTTCCCTGGGCAGTGGGAGAGAATGTCCAGGTAAAAGCAAAGAAGGCATTGCATAGAGTCGAAGGTCTTTTGTTATGACTTGATAAGTTCCTTTCAGGGGACTTGGTGCAGAGGCTTCCCTCTTTCTAGAGTGAGGGTCTCTACATTTTCTTCTTCTTCTTCTTCTTCTTTTCTTTTTTTTGGCACTGGAGATTGAACCCAGGGGCCCTTTACCACTGAGTTACATCTCCAGTTCTTTGTCATTTTTTTTCCTTTTAATGAATTTATTTATTCATTTTAATTAGGTATTTTTGACAGCAGAATGCATTTGGATTCATTGTGCATCATCTCAGCACAACTTTTCGTCTGTACGTGGTGTAGCATCGCACCATCGATGCAGGCATACATGGACCTGGGGTCATCGTGTCCATCATACTCCACCACCCAGTCCTTTTTATTTATTTTTTAAATTTTGAGACAGGATCTCACTAAGTTGCTGGGATCCCAGGTGTGGGCCACCCTGCCTGGCTGGGGGTGTTTCTATATCCTGGGGGCAGTGTGAAGATGGAGAAGGTTTACAGAGAATCCAGCTAGCTCCAGAATACAGACAGGGAGAGAAGTTGCAGCCCCGGGGGGGATCTGGATGGGTCCTCACCATGACTCCATTTCCCCTCCGCCCTGGTGAGGGTCCAGTCAATCAACAGCAGGTTTATGTCCCCACTAAGGGCTCATGTTCTCTGAGTCCCCAGCAGAATTCTGGAACAGAAAGGAGGATGGGGCTTCAAGGTGCCTCACCATCAGTGAAAGGGTGCAGGTAGCCAAAGATGCGGAGGCCATAGTTGGTCCACTTGGGAGACACAGCCAGCTTCCTCAGGGTCGTGCGGATCTATGGGAGGAAAACGGAAGGACACTGACTCAGAAGCGGGAAGAGGAAATTGAGCAAACTGATCTACTCAGGGAAAACCAGAAGGGGGAGAGAGACGGACGGGACCAAAGGTGTGGCTTGGCCAGCAGAGCGCAGATTTCGGCTCCCACTTGCCTCTTCATTCCAGTGACCTTACGCAGTGCACACCCTGCACAGCTGTCTATGGTGGCTTTGAGGAAACTAGATTCTGAGCCACTAGGATAACTGAAACTGAAATGATGCCGAAGGTGGTAGAGGAACTGAAAGAATCCCTGGGAAGGAACAACAGAGGTATTCCTGGCAGAGGAAGGGAAGACCCACAAGATCGAGGGAAGAATGTGGACCAGAAAAGAATCAAAGGAAGAGGAAGGAAGCAGAAGACGAGAGACAGGAATGGGGCAGAGGAACCGGGATGGAGGGAGGCAGGCAGGGTGGCCTGGCAGGCACTCACGTGCGGGTACAGTGGGAAATGGAGGTTCCTCCTGAGCTGCTGGATGGAAGTGCCACACCAATCCTCAAACACATGCAGGTTCGCGCGGCCACGGAACTAGACGGAGAAGAGAATGGTGGGTGAGTGTGAGCGCCTGGCCCATGTCCCATGGCTCCACGGCTCCAGGAACACGGAGAGGCCAAGCCAGGGCTCCTGTGAGGTGTGGCTCGTGGTCCTGCCTCCGTTCCTATCTGGCACCCCCAGCTCCTCTCAGGAACCGCCTTAGTTTGGATCAGTGACATCCCCACAGGCCCCGTGGTGAAGACTTGGTCCTCACTGATGGTGCAAATAGAAAGCGGTGGACCTTTAGGAGGTGAGGCCTACTGAGTGGAAGTTAGGTCACTGGGCACGTCCCCTTGATGGGAACATTGGGGCCTTAGACCCTTTCTCTTGCTTTTTGCTACCTGGCTGCCACAAGGAGGCACGATTTTCCTCTGCCACATGCTCCCGTTATGATAGACTGCCTCACCACAAGCCTCAAAACAAGGGGCTAAGTGACAGGGCCTGAAACCTTTGAAATCACAAACCAAAATAAACTTTTTTTCCTTGTAGGTTGATTAACTCGGGTATTTTTGTTACAGGGATGGAAAGCTGACTAACACAACCTCCACAGCCTGGCCTAAGGATAGGTCTGTCTTTCCAGCCATGCATGTGCAAATACACACACACACACACACACACACACACACACACACACACACACAGCCTTATACACACCCTGCTCATTTCATGCAAGAAGGGGGCTAGTTTGCATTCCCCAGGCAAGGGAGGGTGGTAATAGCCATGACGGAATAGCAGAGATGATAGGGAGCTAGGAGGAGAGGCTAAGCTGGATTTCAGCTCAGAACTTGTTCCCCTCCACTGCCTCTACCACCTCCTAATGGGAGGAAAGCCTCACAGCTGTCTGCGGGTGAAACCTTATCTATGCAGTGGTCTTCACGCTTCTGGCTGGGGTAGGGCGAGCAGCTGGTAAAGAGCTACGGGAGGTATCTGGGGGCCCTATGGGCTGCTCCCACGCGGGGCCTCCCGAGGCTCTCCCAGGCACTCAGAAGCCTCTCATGCAGCGCTGATAGGTAGAAGCAGTCTGTCCCATTCAGGCCAGGGCACTGATCGGGACAGGACTGGCCTGAAGGCCTGGAGTAGAGGCCCCCTTCAGAAGAAAGGGCTAAGGCAGAAACCAGTACCCAGGGTAGGTGGAAGGGCCAAAAGTTCAAGAGAAAAGGGGAGGCAGGGATGCTGTCCCAGAAGATCCAGAGTTTCAGATTTCCCTCACTCGGCTCTTTCCTCCTCCCTGTCCCCAGAGCTTCATCTTCAGGTGCCAGGGCCTCAATTAATCACATTATGCAAATAAGCCCAGTCTGTCCCTCCCCTCCGTGGCCCATCAGATACCAAAATTTGAGCTGCCCTTAGGAAACCTGGGCAGAGGTGGGAGGGACACCCAGACGGGATGCCCAGACGGAAGGAGGTGGCAGGAGGTCTTCAGGGAGAGCCGAGGAGGGGAGGGAGGGAGGGCAGAAGGGCAGCAGCTCCTCAGAAGCCAGAGGTCTGGGTGTGGCTGGTGGGATGGCCACGGCCTTGGGGGTCACATGGCCCAATAACTGGATCCGGAAAAGACACAGGGCAGCCTGTCCCTCCCTGACCCTTCAGAAACTCGGCCCTTCCTGGGCCTGCTGGCCTGGTCAATTCTAGGAATGTGGGACCTTGGGAAGCAGCCATTAGTCCCAGGAATATGAGTTGGGGGCTGGAGTGGGTAGGAGAGGGCAGGTGGGCTGGGTAGGTGGGAGGCGGGTTAAAGCCTTCAAGGAAGCAAAGAAAGGGGACATTGTGTTAGTTCTGGGGAAATTCCTCAAGTCCAGTGTATAAGACTCAGTTGTCTCCTCCCAACAGCCTGCTCTCTGCCTCCTCCCTGGGAGATTTCAGGGCAGATCCAGAGACTGAGAGGGAGGGCAAGGGGAGAGGGCAGGCCACCAGAGAAGTCCACTGTGTGCAGCCTGCAAGTCAGAGGCTGCAGGGGGCTGGGGCCAGGGAAGGAGGGAGGCTGGCCGGCCACCTGCCCCTGCCCCTCAGGGCCTTTCTTGCTTTAGGAATGGGAACCTGGAGTGCTTTGGGGCAGCCAGACCAGGAGAGGTGGGACTGTTGGAAAAGGGCTGGCCTTTTCCTGGGAAGTCTAGACCCTGACCAGCATCAGGCTAGCCTTCCAACTGGGCCTGCCCGACCCTTGGCTATAGATAGGGTCATCTCAGGGAAGCGTCGGTACCCTCCTCCTTCCCAGGCCTGGACTGGCAACCCTACCTGGATTTGTGTCCCTCCAAGTGTGGGGGATTTTATATCTAGCAGGGATATGGGACTCCAGCACACCAGTCCTGCCTTCTGCTCACACTCTCCCTGTCCAGTAGGGGCTAAGGGAAGGGCAGGGGTTCCTCCAAGTCACAGCAAATCTATGGCCAATTATGGTTCTGGAACTTCCAGTGAGAAATAGCGGAGAAGATACTCTTGGAATGGTCTCATTTTAGAGGTGAGGTTATTGAGGCTTAGAGAGGCAAAGTGACTCCCCAAGGACACACAGCAATTAACTCTGTGAAAATGGGGAGGGTTTAAGCGGGTATGCATCAAAAGGGTGAGGCCAGCTTGTTGGGTCCTCACACTGGAACATTCACCGTCTTGATCCGGCCTCTGCTGGACCATGGCCAGGCTTGCCAGGCCTGCAGCAGACCTGTGTGGATCTCAGCTTCTTCCCTTCCAACGAGTCCTCTCACTGTCTCCAGAATTATCATTCTAAAACACAAACCTGATCAGGCTACCCTGCTGCTTAAACCTCCAGACAGCTTTGGAACAAAACCTCTCTTTCCTTGGCTCAGCCCAGTGATGCACACCTGTAATCCCAGCAACTCGGGAAGCTGAGGCAGGAAGACCACAAGTTCAAGGCCAGCTCAGCAACTCAGGTGCCCTAAGCAACTTAGAATCTGTCTTAAAATTAAAAATTAAAAAGGCTGGGGATTTGGCTCAGTGGTTAAGCATCTCTGGGTTCAATCTCCAGTATAATAAACAAAACAAAACAAAACCTCTCCCTGGCCTTTCGGATTGACCTACTTTGCCAGTCTCACCTCACATTCCTCCTGATCATACCTACGCTCTACCCACACCAAACTGCCTGTCTTTGCCTAAAGTGTCCCGCTCTTGACTTCTGCTTTTATAAATGCCATTTTCTGACTGAAAGGTCCTATCAGGTTTCCCATGTGTCAAACTCCTATTCATTCTTCTGAGCTCTTCTTAAGTATTTCTCTGAAGTGTTCTCTTCCTTCCCCAGGAAGAGTCAATAGCCTTCCCCGGTACCCCCAGCACATCTTAATCACTGAACGAACAAATGCTCTGCAGAAGCTGAGCCCAGAACAACATGTCCCTGCATTTACTCTATAAGCACCAAGTGCCTTCCACCAGCCAAAGATGAAAGAGTTGGGGATGTGGCTCCACGGTAGAGCACTTGACAAGAATGTGTGAGGCCCTGGGTTCAATCTACCCCAGCACCACAAAAAAATTTTTAAAACGTACAGAATATAAGACAAACTACAATGATGGTGATTGAGAGATCTGAAAACAGCAAAGCCTGATCCATACAAAAACTTACACATAAATACTCAACAGTAGCATTTTTCAAAATAGCAAAAACAAAAACCAAAAACCCCAACAATCCAAATGTCTACCAACAGATAGATAAAATGCAGTACCTTAGCACCATCTTCCTAAACATTTTTGGGCCCTGAGAGCCATGTGAAGAAGTGATTGGCTGAAGTGCAGAAGTAGGAAGAGGTCCAAGCAAACCGTAGCTCGTGGGCCCATGGAATCCAAAGAAGCAGAACTAAGGAATGCCAGAGGCCGGGGAGCTGGTACAAGCTGATGGACGGCATGCTGAGGACCAGAACTCTCTCAGGGGAGAGAACTCCCACCACCATTGCATCACCAAGACCACCTCTGGGAGGCCCATTGCTCACACAAAACATCCCCAGATCCGTGGCTTTCTGTTTTCAGTCATGGGCAAGCGTAACACATCTACAATAAAACACCCCTTTTGTTGTCTGAGTTGGAGAGTTTTTTACAAAGTTGGCTGATCTGTGCAATGGCATTTAATGAAGCCATAAGAGTGACATACTGACACCTGCTGCAACATAGATGAACCTGGAAAACACACTAGATAACGAAGCAGACATAGGACCACATATCGTGTGATTCCATTTCCATGAAGTATCTAGAACAGGCAGATCCAGAGAGAGCGAAAGTAGATGACTAAGGGTGGGAGATGAGGGTAGGGAAAGGGGATGTAGCTAGGGAGAGCAGGGTTTCTGTTAGAAGTAATCAACAATAAAATTGACTATGAGGGATGCATAGCTCTTTGAATATACTAAGAGCTACTGAACTGTATACTTTCATTTTACTTATTTACTTTGTGGTCCTGGGAATTTAACTCAGGGCCTCATGCATTCTAGGCAAGCACTGAGCTGCATCCCCAGCCCTTTTTATTTTATTTTGAGACAAGGTTTCCCTAAATTGCACAGGCTGACCTTGTACATGGGATTCTCTTCCTCCTGCCTCAGCCTTCCTTGCATTTGGGATTACAGGTAAGCACATCTCACCCAAGTACTAATAAGGATTTTTCTAAGCTTCTTTTACTATGTAAAAAAAAAAAAAAACATGCAATGGAAACCAGTCATCCACCCCTAAACGGTCATACACATGTACTAAAATATCAAGTTTCTTTTTTTCCTTTCAATATATTAGTGATGGAACCCAGAGGTGCTCTACCACTGAGCCACACTCTCAACCCTTTTTATTTTATTTTATTTGGTACCAGGGATTGAGATCAGGGGCATTTGACCACTGAGCCACATCCCCACCTTTATTTTATATTTTATTTAGAGACAGGGTCTCAGCCTTGCCATTGCTGAGGCTGACTTTGAACTTGTGATCCTCCTGCCTCAGCCTCTTGAGTTATGGGGATTACAGGTGTACGCCACTGTGCCTGGCCTTATTTTTATTTTTATTTTTATGAAACAAGGTCTCGCTATATTGCTAAAGCTAGTTTCAAACTTGTGATCCTCCTGCCTCAACCTCCCAAATTGCTGGGATTACAGGTGGGTATCACCATACCCAGATTCAAACATTTCTTTAAAAAAATTAATCCTGATAGGTGATGCCACCTGTAATTGCAGTGACTCAGGAGTCTAAGGCAGTAGGATTACATGTTTGAGGCCAGCTTTAGCAACTTAGTGAGACCCTGTCTCAAAAGAAAAAAAAGTTAATTCTATTTTAATTATTATTTACTTTTTGTTCACTATTTTTGTTTTATTACATATTCACACATGTATATATTTATATCTTTTGCAAAAAAATTGGGGGAAATTAATTATTAGTAAATGCAGAATAGTGTGTGGGTATAACCTTTTAAAATAGTTGGTTCATTAAGAAAAATGATCCAAGTTGCCCTCAAGAGAGGACTATATCACCAGACCAAATGATTTGTAAGAGAATTTCTTTTCAAAACGCTACCTCCAGATGGGGCAGGGCACAGTTACCTGGTGATGTCACCTAGTACAAGTGTGCCAGTATTGTAATCCATCCTCTCTCAGGGTTTTCAAAAGAGGTGGCTTCACAGGGTGGCTAACCTAACAACGCATTTGGTACCGTACTGCCTCCTTCCCTCCTGCCCAGAGCAAGTGGGTAGACTGGAAATAAAACCACCCAGGCTACAGAGATCAGCTGCGATAGGTGTGGCTGAAGACAAGGAGCTGGCCAATACCACCCAATCAAGAAAAGAAACCTAGGTCCACTGGCCTCGAGACAAAAAGACACTGGATTCTAACCAAACTAAAATAAAACCCAATTTAAAATTTTCATCCCCAAAGCACCATGAGCTAAGTCTTAGCACAAGCATTGACCGGACGTAATTTGGGTGTGCTCAGTAATTTCCTTGAGCCTCCATCTCTTACTCAAAAGAAAAGAGTACTAAAGCCTATAAATAAAGTGTATGAGGATGGTTGTGCTTTTTTTGTTTATGCAGCGTTAGTGAACACACCTTTCCTGGTGGTTATGATTTTTATTAACACATTTAACTGTCTCCTAAGACATTTTGTAAAGCAGAGTTCCTAATGCATATTCCTTATAACCCTAGCATCATAGAATATTAATAGACAGTTCATGGAACAAGCAATTTGGGGGCACATAAGTTGGACCATGCTGAGCTCAACCAAACTGAACCAAACTGACTGCAGAACTTCTCAGGATCTTTCATATGCTAATGTCCATTTCCAAGAAGAGGATGTAGTACACAGTTTTGTTTTGTTTAACTCATTTAACAATAAACTCCTTTCTTCCTGGAATATCTTATGGGACTTAATGGTCCAAGACAGTTTGAGAAACTTGTTAAATCTTTAAGATTAGGGATTGGCCTGGGCATGAAAGTCACGTAATTTTCCTGAGCTTTGTTTTTCCCACCTATAAAACAAGGATTATGATTCCTATAGTTTGGATCTGCGATGTCTCCCAAAGGCCCATATGGTTGGTCCACAGCCTGCGGCCCTACTGGGAGGTGGAGGACCCTTTCGGAGGCAGGGCCCAGTGGTGGGAAGTTAGATGGTTAGGGGATCTGGAGACCTTGGCCCCTTCCTCCTGCTCTTTGCTTCCAGCTGCCATGAGGTGAACAGGCCTCCTCTGCCACAAGCAGAAGCAAGGTACTGCCTCATTCCAAGCAGAAGCAAGGGACCAAGTGACATGGACTGAAACCTCTGAAAGTGTGAGCCAGAATAAACCTTTCCTCCCTGTGAGTCGTTTATGTCAGCAATGGAAAGCTGACTGACACCAAGGTACTACCTTACAAGGTCCAAAAGCTGGCGTCAGATGATATGCAGAGCCTGCACACAGTAGGCATGAGCAAATGTTAGGGCTCCTTCTCTAAGGGAAGAAAATCAAATCAACTGGGAACCCCAGGGGCAAACAGTCATACTCCCTAGGAGAAAGTTTTCCATGATCTCTGGAATTATCTGTTAATTTAAAAAAATGATATTAATAATAATCCTGTCAAACAAGAGTCCCTTACCTCTGAGAGCCAGGGTACGGGTTTGTTCCACCTCAAGTAGCTGTTGTTACTGTTCCCACTTTGGTCAATTTCTTGGTCCTAGTGGAAGAACAAAGAATGCACTTTGTGAGAATATTAGGGTGAGAACCTGGGAACAAAACAGGATTCAGGGACCCTTGAAAGTGCCTGTGGGGAAGCAGTCCCTGCCCCCAGGAAGCTTCTGACCTAAGGGACACTTCCAATCACTTACACACATTCCTCAGGAGAATATGTCCTTCACAGTGTCATCTGCATATGGCTCCCGAGCTTTGAGATTTTCTCAATTTGTCCCATATGGAGAAAAGTGTTTTTTTCCTAATTAAATCAGGGCCTCCTGAGGGCAGGGGCTTTGACTCCTTCTTCCTCTACCTCCCCCAGGGCTGTGCCCAGATTTGTCACTACTTGTCTCAGTAAGTGGGAGCCCCTCGGGTACAAATCCTCCCTGCCATGCACGTCCACAGATTCACTTTGGTTCTGGTCCAGTCTTAGGTATCCATGTCTGTTGCATATTCGATTAGGGCCTCCAGACTGAGCTGGACCCTAACTTCCCTAACCTATCATTGGCTCAAGAAACACTGCAGGAATTTCCTAAATCGAGCAAAATGCCACCCCATTATAGACCGCACACCCAGCTATGTGCAGGGAGGGAAGTCTGTCTAGCTTGTCCTCTGGCTTGCAGTAGCAAGCATCTAGTTATTTTCACTAAGGGACAGTTCAGTCTCCATAACAGGAAAAGTCAGGACATGCTATTTGATTTGCCTTTTCTTTCTTTCTTTCTTTCTCTTTCTTTCTTTCTTTCTTTCTTTCTTTCTTTCTTTCTTTCTCTTTCTTTCTTTCTTTCTTTCT